AAAAAAATCGAAAAAGATTGCATTCTATAAAGAAATAATTAATATATATATATATGTCATAATTATCAGTAATTCGTCTTTAATAATATATTAATTAAATATTTGCCTTAGTTATTGATATTTCATAAATATTTTTCTCTTTTTCTGTGATTAACAAGTAATGCAACTAATCATTTCTAAGAAATGCTAAAAATTTTAGCATCAAATTTTAGAATTAAACAATTATTAAGAATTTTTAAGTGCCATTATATACTATAAAGTACTTTGTATTGTATTTCTCATTTTATAATTTTGTGCTTCAATAATATACTTAATAATTTAATACTTAATTTTTTTCTTCTTCACATGAAAAAGAAGGCAACCACTGCAATTAACTTTTTTATCAATATTATAAGTAATTCTTGTTAATTATATGATTTTTTTTATTAACTTGCCACTTTCTTAATGAAAAGTTTAATTTTTATATACTTTTTCTTTAATGTTTATTGTTATTTAACGCAAAAATTTTTTAACAGTTTACTGCATCAATGATTGCTTTTCATCATCTTTATTGCATTATAAAATGATTTCTTTTCCTTTTTTTAAAACATTCTTTAAAATTCTCTAATTATATAGAAAAAGGACAAGAAGTAATTATTATCAATTAAGCAATAATACATATGTATTATGTACTATCACATTGGTGAGATCATTTTCTGACTGATTATAATTAACAATGAGTATTATGAGTGTTGGATGATTATGATTATAATTAAGGTTATGATTATGATTATAATGATATTTGCTTTTAAATATCATATTTTCATTCTTGCGATATTACAAATGTGAATATATGAAAATAATGAACAAAAAAGGATGAGTGGTTATTTTTGGTTAATTGCGCCGAAATAGATTAGCAAAATTGAAAACCGGTTTTTTGAGAAGCCTATTAAGCCGTGTCAATTGTGTTCGTTCCTCAATCAACATTTGTCCATCTTTTGAATTCATTGCTGTATCATCAATATTTTCACCTAAATTTATTCATGAAATATTTTTCAAATAATCGAAAAAAAATAAAAGAAAAGCAAAATATGAAATTAATAGATTGTAATTTATCATAAACTATATGCTATTTAAGCTTAATAATTCTTCTAGTTTAAAATTGATAAATTTTTCAATTTGCATTGTCATTCATGCGACATAGTTAATACTAAATTTTTTTTTACAACGTTTCTTTTGCTAAAAAAAATTTTTAAATTTAAATTTTAACCAAACCTGATAATCTTTTCAAATCACGCAATGAAAACTTCTTGATAGCATAAAAATGTGGACGTGATTGAAATAGTTGTGATGAAATGGGAGCAATGCAGGATATTCCAAGAAATAATATCAGTGAAATCATTTTTACCTAAAATTAAATTAGAAAAAAAAAAGAAATATGTTCTAAAAATTATAAATATATTATTTGTAAAATATGATCAATAAGTTACATGAAACTATTTAAAATGTGTTATCATAAATTTGGAATTAATTAATATTTTATTTACAAACTGCGAGAATATTTTAGAGAATAAGAAAAAAGATGTAAAATAAAGTTGTGAAATTTAAAATTATTTAAATGCAATTATTGTGCAATTGTATTAAATGAGTATAATCTGTGAACATTTAATCTATTAATAAATTATGAAAAAATTCGAAATATGTTTATTATTGCAACATTCAGCATAAATTAAATGTTAACAAGAGAGTAATAATGGTTATTTATCATAGTTTGTTGATAAAAGTTAATCAATTCCCTTTCCGCTTTTCTTTTTTCGCATTCGAAAATTATCCTTGTTTACTTTTCTTTCATCATTCCCCAAACGTTCTTTCCTATCGCATAATTTCTTAATTTTGTAGTGCCTTACAAAAATTTCCACAAATAATAATAATTTGCTGATTCCCTGTTACTCGCTTTCTCTTACATTGTGATAGTCGTACCTAAATTCTTAAATCCTTATATCAGATTTTTTACTGATTTGTTTTTTAATTATCTGCTGATGCATATTTTGGAAAAAATAAAATGCGATCATTTGGAAATGTCAAATTTCGGGATAAATGAGTTAATTCAAATAAAAAAAAAAAAAAAAAACACAAAAGCATTAAATTTGAAGTTTCAGTATTTCAATTAAAGAGCTCGATAATTTATTCATAAAAATAGCTTAAATCATATAATTAAGACCATTTTTATAATTTAAATAATGAAAAGAAATCATTTTGAAATGCTAATGAACTAATAAAATAATAATTCATAACTATCTACTTACTAGTATACACTCGTAGAAATGGATGCATTAGGTTTACGATCAAAATATTCATTCTATTAGTAAAATATTTGTCCTATATTTTGATCTCATTAGAAACATAAAATGTTGTTATTGATTATTAGGTTAATCGATAAACAGCAATACTTAATTTAAAATTTTTGAAATTGATGGAAAAAAGAACAGTAAGTCTAATAATTTATGCAATAAATTGCTAGGATAAATTACTTTAACAAGTATTACATAGTTACTAAAATAATTTTACTCTTTGATGATATTTCCATTATATCATTGAATAATTATTATATGCCAATAATACTACTATATCAAAATAATCTATCCTTAATTTCTTACTTACTTTTCATCTATGCTTATTTCTTTTAAATTGTTGCTCACACACCAGATTTTGTTTTTTCTTAAAATAGAAAAGAAAAAATACCAATATTAAATTAATTTGGTCATTTTTTCAAATAAATTTTTTTTTAAATTTTAAATTTACTTTGATAAAATATTTTGAAATGAAAAAACGAAAAAGAATAGCCATAATGAATTCAGCAATTTATTATCATTTATATGAGCAAAAAAAAAAAAAAAAATAAATAAATAAAAATGAAAAAAGACAAAATAAAACAAAACAAAAAGACAAAAAGAAAAAAATTGATAAGTGTATAAAATTAATAATGCGAATCTTTTCAGAATTTTTGGAAAAAAAAAATGAAATTGTAAGTAAGTTAAACTTCTGCGTTTCATTTGGATTCATTCTTCTTAAATTTGAAGAAAAAACGTGAGCAAATATATTGACAGGTTAAAATTTAATTAATTCTCTCAACCTTATTTTCTCAAGCTTATATTCTATATCTCAAGCTTACACATATGTACCCAATCTTATTCTATCAAATACATTCTTAATTTAATGTATCAGAAATGCGATGAAATCTATCATCAGTGCATTTCTATATTATTTCTTTTTTTGCTAGAAAAAAAGCACAAGAAAACTGAAAAATTAAATTATTTCCGATATTTACATTTTTTCACACATTCTAAAATCATACATTTTATATAATCTGTTATGAAATTTTGTGACATATAATTTAAATTTACAGTTTAATAATTGCATATAGTATGGGTATAATAACATTTTTTAAAGAAAATTGGAAAAAATTTTTTTATAATGAATAAAAAATAAACGATGCATTTTGAAACTATCTGAAACATTTTTAATTTTTAAATAAAATTTCGTTTTCTCATCAAGTTATTATCAATTCTAAATTTTGATATAATATTCAAATGACGAAACACACTTATATTTGTCAAAAAAAAAATGATTATTAAAACATTACATAACAAAAGTTATAGAAGTTAAAAAGGTTAAGTAATGGATTATGAATAAAATAAGATGGAGTTAATTTGATAAAATATTTATATCTGATTAACGATTTAAAATGTAGAAACAAACTATTAATAAAAGCAATGTGATGAAAAAGTATAAATACAAAATATAAATGCTTTCCCCTTTTTTCTCCCATCGAATTTTTTTTAAATCAAAAAAAAAAATAGAACCGTTGGTTTTAGCACACATCATTTAGCTAAGATTGATAAAATTTAATATCTTAAAACTTTACATACCATTAACTATCAATGAATTTAGCACTTGATGGAATGCTAAAAATTTTTGTTTTATTTTGAAATAATGAAATTCAACTGATGGTAACAATTTTAGCAATGAATGAATATATAAAGCAAATAAACGTATGTATTCAATATTATTTGACATCTTTATAAAGTAAGTTTTAAAGGAATTTATATAAATTTTCTTTATATAAATATATAATATTTCATAATAATTTTCATTTAATGAATTTTTCATTTCCTTTTAATTTCGATATAATAGAGGTACAATTAAATTTATATCTTAAATTAAATTTACAACTTAATATGAAGTACAATTAATAGCATTTCTTTTTAAATCAAGTTAATTGTCATTGTTTTGCCAAGGATAAAAAAATTAGTTAGCATTTAAATTGTATAATAACTTTTTTCCTAAGAAAAAAAAACATGTATTTTTTGAATTTACACTAATTTGATTTTTTGATATTGCTTTCTCAACTATTTTTGTTAAATCTGTACCTTTAAGTTTCTCCAAAATATTATTGAAAATGATATAACAGGCAATTTTAATCAATTTAAATTAAATTATCAAAAATTTTATAAGTTTTTTATGGCAGATTGCACTAGAATAAATGTACAAAAATCTTGTTCAAAAAAAAAAAAAAAAATAGAAATTATATTTATAAGCTGAAAGTTAGCTTTACTTTTGCTTTAATTTGTCTTTTTTTTGTATAATTAACCAACTTATCCATTTCATTATAACCTATTCTGTATTAAATATTAACAATGTAACTCTTTGCATTTTTAAAGCTTTTTCAACTATACTTAATTATTTATTGACTTTTAAACTCTTCCATTGCAACATATATACTTTCTCCTCTTTTACTATTTTTAAAAAATGAAAATGACAGAAAAGAAAAAGTGAAATCTAGAAAAAATTGATTAATATATTTAGCAGAATTTATCTCAAAACTATCGGTCAACTGATTGACCGTTTTCATATTTCTTATTTTATTCATTTATATCAAAATGTTTTCGTGGTTATATTCGAAATTAATAAGATAGGATGAAAAAGAGGGAAGTAAAATTAGAATTTGCAAAATAAAACTT